ATAACCCAACTAGGTAGACTGTTCCACTCATCTACTACCCTAAACCATACCCCCGGCCGGGATTGAACCCGCGGTCATAGAGTCTCAAAACTCCAGCCCGTCGCGTTAGCCACTAGACCAGCTAGCCACTAGTGGCTAACGCGACGGGCTGGAGTTTTGAGACTCTATGACCGCGGGTTCAATCCCGGCCGGGGGTATGGTTTATTTGCAATCGTGTCATTACGATTTCTTAAGTCATCTACTACCCTATTTCCAAACCAATACTTTCCTATGTCCTTTCTAAATCTAAACTTATCTAATTTAAATCCATTACTGCGGGTTCTCTCTTGGAGAGACATCCTCAAGACCTTATTAATATCCCCTTTATTAATAGCTATCTTCCACTTATACACTTCGATCAGATCTCCCCTCATTCTTCGTCTAACAAGTGAATGTAACTTAAGAGTCTTCAATCTTTCTTCATAAGGAAGATTTCTAATGCTATGTATTAATTTAGTCATCCTACGCTGAATGTTTTCTAACGGATTTATGTCCATCCTGTAATATGGAGACCAGAACTGAGCTGCATAATCTAGGTGAGGCCTTACTAATGATGTATAAAGCTGCAGTATGACCTCTGGACTTCTGTTGCTTACACTTCTTGATATAAATCCCAGTAATCTGGCAATATAAACACAAATGCAGTATAATGTGATCCTTTATTGACTACGTTTCGCCCACACAGTGGGCTTTTTCAAGTCACAAACAGAACTACCTGGGGTGGAAGTAACGCGAGTATTTATAGTCCGGCTGAGGTCAGGTGAAGAATGCTGCATCTGATGATGTACCGAGTGGGGTTATAGAGTCTAAAAACTTGGGTAGCTTGGAAAGGAGATTGGATAAGTTTGTGAGCAGACCTTCTACAGTGTTCTTATGTGGGATAGCGATGAAGAAGTTTCTTGGCAAGTGGTTCAGCTATGTTATAGAAGCCACTATTCTGGTTGAAGTTGTCGGATATAGAAATAAGTGATGATTCCAGGATTCTTCGGTATTGAGTGTTGTCTTCTGTGGCGATAAGTCTTGAGTTTGTGTGAATTACGGTGTTGTACGCAGGCATTCCTTGTGTCGTCAGACCTGCTTGCGTATTGGTGTTCTGAAATACGTGTTTGGAGGTCCCTTGATGTTTCGCCCACGTATAACTTGTTGCAGTCATTGCAAGGGATTATGTATACCCCTGCAGAGGATGGAGGCTTGTCCTGCCTACTACTGGTGATGTCCTTGATGGTCGTGGTTGTGGAGGTAGATACTTGGAATGATGTTTTGGTAAAGATGTTGGAAACATGTTTGGCAATGGAGTTGGTGGGAAGGACTATGTATCTCTTCTCGGGCAGTGTCTTCTCTGGGTGTGTTGAAGATGTTTAATGCTCGCCGTCTGCAGTCTCTGATGAAGTGACGAGGATAGTGGAGTTTAGAAAATATTTGTTCAATTATAGTGCATTCTTCCTCAAGGAACTCGTTGCTGCAGATTCTGAGTGCACGTAGGAAGAAGCCTATAATTACACCACGTTTGGTTTTGGTGTCGTGGTGGGAGTAGAAGTGGAGAAGATCGTTTTGGTTGGTGGGTTTTCGATAGACTTTAAAACGAAGTTCGTGGTCAGCTTTGCAGAGCAGGACATCAAGGAAAGGAAGAGTGTTGTCGACTTCTTCTTCAAGTGTGAACTGGATTGAAGGCTCGACCTGGTTGAGCTTGTCTTGGAGAGCTTGAACGTTGAAGCGTTTAGGAGTTATGAGGAGAATGTCGTCAACATAACGGAGCCAGGTGACAGAGGAAGGAATAATGGTGGAGAAACGTTCGGCTTCTAGATGTTCCATGTATAGGTTCGCCAGGACTGCACTGAGTGGCGAACCCAGGGGTAGTCCAAAAGTCTGCTGAAAGAGGTGATTTTCGAAAGAGAAACACGTAAAGTCAACACATAGTTCAACAAGGTCGATGAAGTCGCTGGCTGGAATGGGAAGATCAAGTGAATCGTCAATTTTCCTGCGCAAGAGATTGATGGCTTGTGTAGTAGGTACTTTGGTGAATAGGGAAGTCACGTCAAGGCTGGAAAGTTTCTTGTTCCTGATGTTGATGTTGCGAATGCGATTGAGAAGATCACCTGAGTGTTTGAGATGTGCTGGACTGATAGTGCCCAAGAGTTTAGAGAGGTGTTTGGCGAGAATTCCTGAGAGCTGGTGGGGAGCACTGCCTATTCCCGAGGATATGGGCCTCAGTGGGATACCAGGCTTGTGAGTCTTTGGCAGGCCGTACATTCTGGCAGGTCTGGGGTTGCTGGGCACGGTGTGTAGAAGTTTCTTCCCTTGTTCTGAGCCCCTCAGAATGCGGCGAGTCCTTTGAAGAAAAGTTTTGTAAGGTTGTCCACTTGGTTAGTTGTGAGAGGTTTGTAGGTATCTGGGTCATTAAGTAGATTGAGCATTTTGTTCCTGTAATCGTCAGTGTTCATGATAACAACACCACCTCCTTTATCAGCGGTGGTGACCCTGATGGTCGTGTCTTCTGCTAAACCTTTGAGTGCATTGATGTAACGTCGAGGTATGACTGGGGAGCTGCGTGTTGAGATGGCTGCTGAGATGATGCCTTGAAGATAGCCTTTTTGGAAGTCGGAGTCATTGTGTCTGTAGTTTTTGGCGATGAAATTGAGGTCTTGTTTTGGTTTCGTAATTCCTGTTGCGAATTTGAGGCCTAAGCTGAGGGCTTCAGTTTCTGTGGTTGACAGTGGACGAGATGAAAGATTTTGAATAATTTCAGGTCTTCCTAAACTTTTCCAATTACTATTATCGCAGAGTGTTTGTAGTTTCCTAGTAAGTCTGATCTTCTGTTGAACATTCGCTGTGGTAACTCTGCTAAACTCTTGGGCACTATCAGTCCAGCACATCTCAAACACTCAGGTGATCTTCTCAATCGCATTCGCAACATCAACATCAGGAACAAGAAACTTTCCAGCCTTGACGTGACTTCCCTATTCACCAAAGTACCTACTACACAAGCCATCAATCTCTTGCGCAGGAAAATTGACGATTCACTTGATCTTCCCATTCCAGCCAGCGACTTCATCGACCTTGTTGAACTATGTGTTGACTTTACGTGTTTCTCTTTCGAAAATCACCTCTTTCAGCAGACTTTTGGACTACCCATGGGTTCGCCACTCAGTGCAGTCCTGGCGAACCTATACATGGAACATCTAGAAGCCGAACGTTTCTCCACCATTATTCCTTCCTCTGTCACCTGGCTCCGTTATGTTGACGACATTCTCCTCATAACTCCTAAACGCTTCAACGTTCAAGCTCTCCAAGACAAGCTCAACCAGGTCGAGCCTTCAATCCAGTTCACACTTGAAGAAGAAGTCGACAACACTCTTCCTTTCCTTGATGTCCTGCTCTGCAAAGCTGACCACGAACTTCGTTTTAAAGTCTATCGAAAACCCACCAACCAAAACGATCTTCTCCACTTCTACTCCCACCACGACACCAAAACCAAACGTGGTGTAATTATAGGCTTCTTCCTACGTGCACTCAGAATCTGCAGCAACGAGTTCCTTGAGGAAGAATGCACTATAATTGAACAAATATTTTCTAAACTCCACTATCCTCGTCACTTCATCAGAGACTGCAGACGGCGAGCATTAAACATCTTCAACACACCCAGAGAAGACACTGCCGAGAAGAGATACATAGTCCTTCCCACCAACTCCATTGCCAAACATGTTTCCAACATCTTTACCAAAACATCATTCCAAGTATCTACCTCCACAACCACGACCATCAAGGACATCACCAATAGTAGGCAGGACAAGCCTCCATCCTCTGCAGGGGTATACATAATCCCTTGCAATGACTGCAACAAGTTATACGTGGGCGAAACATCAAGGGACCTCCAAACACGTATTTCAGAACACCAATACGCAAGCAGGTCTGACGACACAAGGAATGCCTGCGTACAACACCGTAATTCACACAAACTCAAGACTTATCGCCACAGAAGACAACACTCAATACCGAAGAATCCTGGAATCATCACTTATTTCTATATCCGACAACTTCAACCAGAATAGTGGCTTCTATAACATAGCTGAACCACTTGCCAAGAAACTTCTTCATCGCTATCCCACATAAGAACACTGTAGAAGGTCTGCTCACAAACTTATCCAATCTCCTTTCCAAGCTACCCAAGTTTTTAGACTCTATAACCCCACTCGGTACATCATCAGATGCAGCATTCTTCACCTGACCTCAGCCGGACTATAAATACTCGCGTTCCTTCCACCCCAGGTAGTTCTGTTTGTGACTTGAAAAAGCCCACTGTGTGGGCGAAACGTAGTCAATAAAGGATCACATTATACTGCATTTGTGTTTATATTGCCATTGTGTCGGTATTTTATACCATTTATTTCCCCAGTAATCTATTTGCCTTATTACGTACGCTTAGGCATTGCTGTCTTGGTTTAAGGCTGCTGCTCACCATAACCCCCAAGTCCTTTTCGCAATCTGTATGGCTAAGTTCTACATCGTGGAAATAAATGGTATCAAATACCGACACAGTGGAAATATAAACACATATGTAGTACAATGTGATCCTTCATCGACAACGCTAATGATCAGTCCATTAGCCTTGAAGAAGTGGTTTGAGGTGGTCAGTCCCACAGTCTGGAGAGATATGTAATTCTTGGAGAATAAAAAGGCACAATACCGTGATTGGAACAATATACAAATAACCCGCACATAGAAGACTGAAACTTATGAGGACGTTTCGGTCCGAACTGGACCTTAACATGTGTACACTTGCTATCACTGTATGTATCATTTACACACAAAAAAATTAAAATATCCTAAAAGAAATCATTTAAGAGAAAAAATAAATAAGCATACAATTAAAAAAACGAAATTAATGTAGAGTAAAAGAAATCATTTGTTGTCGGGATTTTTCTTTTATATTAGTCAAATGAATTTTTCGTTCATCTACTCACCGAGGATGGCAAGTGCTGGACTCTGATGGGACGGGGGATACTAGTGTTCCTCCAGCTCACCGGGTTAACCACGTGTACCCTGGGCAGGTAATCTCCTTCACTGCTGTACACGTGTTCCACCTGAGGAAGACAAGATACTTTAATGATATGTTATCAAGTGGATATTTGTCGAGGGTAGGAATAATTGTTGAGTGTGTAATGACGTCATTTCTTTGTGGTCATAGGGGTTCTAGCCCCGCCTCTTCGCTGACCACTACTAGGTCCACTCTCTCCCTGCTCCAAGAGCTTTAGTAACCATGTTAGTTAGTTAGTTAGTTAGTTACCATTTTGTCCTAGGCACATGTCGATTAGACACTAGGCCTGTTGTATATGAGTACTTATTCACCTACTCACCTATTTGTGGTTGCAGGGGTCGAGTCTTAGCTCCTGGCCCCGCCTCTTCACCGGTTGCTACTGGACCCTCTCTCTCCCCTTGTTTCTGTCCCCTCCCTGGAACATCCTGTCTTTGTCCACCTTGTCTATTCCACGCAGTATTTTATATGTCGTTATCATGTCTCCCCTGACCCTCCTGTCCTCCAGTGTCGTCAGGCCGATTTCCCTTAATCTTTCTTCATAGGACATTCCCCTTAGCTCTGGAACTAACCTTGTGGCAAACCTTTGTACTTTCTCTAGTTTCTTGACGTGCTTTATCAAGTGCGGGTTCCAAACAGGTGCTGCATACTCCAGTATGGGCCTGACATACACGGTGTACAGTGTGTGTGTGTGTGTGTGTTTGTGTAGGTGTAGGTGTAGGTGTAGGTGTCAGTAAGGGATGGATCTATTAGCAGCTGAGGTGTATGCATATAGCCGGGTATATTTATGGCTAACATATCAAGTATACAAAATATTAAGTGAGGAATGCAGGTTAATGTTGAAACTAATAACAAACAGATCACAGAGAGTGATAATAAATTAAACACTATTTAGTATGTGTGTATTAAAGCAAAGGTGGCTGGCTCCATTTATCTTTCTTATCCTCGTAGCATAGTCAAAAACACATGACATTGTGTCATATTTTATTGATGATACCAAATCTGCCATGAAAGTTACCTCGGTAAGAAGGCACGGGAAACTGCGATTATATTGTTAAATAAAAGACACATGTGCAACTAAAGTGACATTTTTATTGTGGTAACGTTTCGCTCTCGAGGAATTTTGTTAAGCCCTAACCGTTTGACTTTTCCTGGAGAGCGAAACGTTGCCACAATAAAAATGTTACATTAGTACCACATGTGTCCTTTTACTTAACATATTGTCGGTAATTTTACTAACACGATTATATTCTATATAGGGCCGAGGAAAATAACTAGAAACTCAGTGGTGACAGATTCTAAATACGATACAAATATAAACAAAGGACTCAGAACGTATCCAGGGCGCAAGAGACATTCAGATCATTTAATAGAATATAAATAAAATATCTAAAAATATAACGTAAACAATGTCATTTAAATGATAAGGTGGACTATGAAAATTTTAAAAACCAAACATGTCACACTGGTGACGGTAATTTTATAATAACTTGTGCTCTCTCATTCAAAACAATGTTCCGTGCTCGCATCTCAAGGGAAACAAGGCATCTGAGCTAGAAAATATACAGAGAGCTTATCCTGCTCACGCAGAATCAGCACAGAATCCACGCTATTGCAAAATTATCCTAGTAGTATAGAATTCGCATCACTAAGGTCACCTTACAGAAGTCAGACTGTATTCTCTTTAATGGAGAGAGGAGAAATATTTTCAGATCTAAACATGAAAATATCCGAAAGTCAGGTTCATAACCTACTCACTAAAATAACTATTTACTCGATGAAACGAGAGAAAGACGAATAGATCAGGTGGTCCATCTGGGAATCAGCTCCACTTTATACTAGGTTTACTGTTCTTTTACAAAAACGCTCCTCTCAACTCGGGTCACTCATTCCTCGTATCAACAATTAAATACACACAACACTAAGTTCATTTCACTAACTCCCAAACCTTAATAATACCTGGCCCATTTCAGGTCCACTCACCTTACTGTAATGTTTCATCCAGTCTATTCTGCCTTCCAAGTCTGTCTGGTACAATGAGTGATACGCTTAACGGTATCATTAATCGTGTGGTAGTTGAACCGTCTTTCTGTTGTTTGTATATCTTACTCCCTTTAAAATAATTTTTATTTGCTTGCTTCGTCCTAAATTAATCTAGGTATCCAAGTTTAGAAAGTTGATCCAGGAAACTTTGGCTGAAAATCCTGAGCTCCCATAAGAAATTTAGAAACAGTTCTCTTTTTAACTGTGAGAAAATACACAAATATCCTGGACACAGGAGAAAGGAGTTTACGGCGACGTTTCGGTCCGACCTGGACCATTTACAAAGCCACACAGTGTGACTTTGTAAATGGTCCAAGTCGGACCGAAACATATTCATAAGAAACCATACCACGGGTGGGGTTTGAACCCGCGGTCAGTCTCAAAACTCCAGATCGTCGCGTTAGCCACTGGGCCAGCTAGCTTCAATAAGATTCATTCAACTAGGTATATTTCTACACCATAGGAAGGTTAGCATATGAACCAGTGGCTAACGCAACAGTCTGGAGTTTTGAGACTCTCTGACCGCGGGTTCAAATCCCACCCGTGGTATGGTTTGTTTGCAATCGTGTTATTACGACTTCGTGAAACATATTCATAAGCTTCTCTTCCTACGTGCGGGTTATCTGTGTATTTCCCCAGTCATGACATTGTGCCTTTTTGCTCTTTGTGATAGAATAGTGGCTAAAATATCGAATGTTGTTAGTAATATTTATTGCCTTCTTGTACACTAAATAGAAACTTTGGTTTCTAACTGATGACCCAAACATCAAGGAAAGCTCGTTTTATTATTCTTATACAACTTTTAATTTCACAGAAAGTACATGTTGGTTTAACTTTTCAAAAAATGTGTCAAAGTTAGCTCATTCCTGTTCCTCAACCGTGAATATATTATCAACATATCTGTATCAGATAGACGATCAACAAAAAAGAGACAACCCACCATTTTAGTGATACTTTTCTTCACCAAGGTATCGCAGATAACAGTAAAAAATATAAGCGAGTTTACTTTTTGCCTACCCTAATATACGTAGTAACTGTCTTAAACTACACAATGCCCCTCACTACAGACACACCGAGTGTGTACCTTCATTTGGTATGAAAAATGGGGTAGGTCACAATTTCGATGCTAGAATAAGTAAACAGAAAACATCAGCGAGATATAATAAAAAAAATTAAGTGTACATTTTACATGTAAAAACCTGGAATCACACTATTAAGTGGGCTCCAGTAATTATCATCTAGATAAATTAGACACATGTGCAACTCTTGGGTATCTTTATTGAGGAAACGTTTCGCCACACAGTGGCTTCATCAGTCCATACAAAGGAGAATCTTGAAGAACAGGAGGAGAACGAGGTAATCAGTTTCCTCAATAAAGATACCCAAGAGTTGCACATGTGTCTAATTTATCAACATGTCGGTTCTCTGAACCATTCATCTACAATTATCATCTACAGTGACGGTCCAGGAGTCCCCAACTTGCCGCCTAGGAGTAGCATGTAGCCCTTCTATGAAATGGATGCGGCCTTCACATGAAATTACGAATTCACATTTATATAGGTTCCACACTGCACAGTGTCAACAAAACCGTGCGGCTCTCATCGCTCATTTGACCATCAAATGTGGCCCACTTGTGTGCGAAAGCTGAGGACCACTGAGTCCTACACTGTTAATGACTTCAATGAAAGGACAACCACTGAAGCAGCTTTGATTAACCAACATTCAAACTAATGAAGCTCACACTAGACATATTTTACCACCGAGTTTGAAAATAATTTCCCACACCAACGGGTCGACACATCCTACAGAAGGACATCTTCACAACATGGAACACCTAACGAGCTTCACTGGACAAGTATAACATGTCACTTTATTATGTTCTTGTGTCGGCTGAAGAAGATCTAAGAAAGAATTAAAAATATATTAACAACTATTCTCCCGCCTTTGTCTCCAAGTGAGTTACCTCCCTTAATTGCAAAGTGTTCGTTATATCGTAGTGTTCCAACATCCCTCGTAACGCAGCTCAGTTCACGCCACCACAATAAATAAACCTATTTCCTTCTTCGTCTCACAGGTCCTAAATACAGCCAAGAACTCTGAGTGCATCCACACACCCCTTGTATACCCACACACCCTGTGTACTCTCACACACCTCGTGTATACCCAGACCCTGCGTATACTCATAAACTCCATATACATCCATACATCCTGTGTACTCCCACACACTCCGTGTATACCCACACGCTCCATGTACACTCACACACTCTGGGTACAACCACACACCCAGTGTACACCCACACACCCTGTATACACATACACCCACATCCTATATGCACCCAAACATCACGTGTACGCCCACACACCCCTGTGTACACTTGCACTAGAGTACAGATTAAGCTGTCAGCAGGCCATTCCATCACTTCCTAATGCCACGTCGTGAGATTATTATGTGCAATTACAATGGTATATTAGAAGTCTGTATTCCTGCCAGCGTGTTCGCCCGAGAATAAATCACTTATAATGATTGTAAATGAACTTTCATCGCAATATAAAAGAGATGGTTATATCCACGCTTCATGTGTGAAGGTGATGAGATATATTTTTTCGTAATTGTCTTCCCTTGGAGGCTTTAATGAGAAATTAACACGATAAGTCGGCAGGATTTGGGCTCAGTTTCTACTACGTTTTATTTACTTCTAATTAACTACAGGTAAGCTACAGGTATGTAGATAAATGGTTCAGAGAACCGAAAAGTTGATAAATTAGACACATGTGCAACACTCGGGTATCTTTATTGAGTAGCGTTTTCGGTACATAGTGGCCCTCATCAGTCTATACAAAGAAGAAGAATAGTGAAGATCAGAAGGAGTTTGAGGTAATCAGTCCCTCAGCCTGGATTCGATGTGATTAGTCAATTTTTTCAAGACTGATGGACTGATTACAGTGATTCCAGGCTGAGGGACTGATTACCTCAAACTTCTGATTTTCACCATTCCTCTTTGTACAGGACTGATGAAGCCAGTGTGTGGTGAAACGTTTCCTCAGTAAAGATACCCAAGTGTTGCACATGTGTCTAATTTATCAAGCTGCAGGAATCCTCCTATTCTACTTACGAATATACTCTGATCTCCATTTATACTCTGTATTATCTACCACTGGCATTAATTATATCTGGTGTAGTTTCTCTTTTCACCAGACGAGCCTGGCCCATGGCCGGGCTCAGAGAGTAGATAAACTCTCGAAACTCTTCAAAGGTATATCTGCTTCCCTTTCCGCTTCTAGCTTAGTGGTCGCATTATCTGGGTCACAGCCAAAAGATCTTGGGCTCGAATCCCGGACGAGAAAATATGCACATGTCTAATTACATCCTCTTCCAGTTTGTTATAAAGTGAGGTACAAAAACTCTTAACCAATAATGTTAAACTCTTGAAAAAAGGCACCACGAATGCTCTTATCCAAGTATTTCAGTGGTAAATATTAATATGGTGTACAATACCGACAGGTTGATAAGAAACATGTGCAACAGTTATGTTGCAGTTAGTTTTGAGGTGGTCAGTCCCTCAACCGGAGGGCTGAGGGACTGACAACCTCAAAACTACGTCTTCAAGAGTGATGGAGTGATGACATCGTCTTTACATTTCTACTGCTTCTGCTCACTCTTCTGTACTCGACTGAGGAAACCCTCTTGACTCATTCTTCTTTGTCCCTAACCTGAAACTTCTTGATACTCTTCTCTTAACATAAAACATCAGAACTTCACTTAGTTCAGCACAATAACATGTCCAGTGACGGCTAGTGTTAAGTGTTATAACGGGGTTAAGTCTCTTGATCCATGACACTGGAGCTTCCCTCCCCTACTTTGGTTCAAACCTGATTACCTCCCATTCCTCAAGCGTTATACATAAGAACAGAAGGAACACTGCCGCAGGCCATTCATGAATTTGTCCAACCATTTTTTGGGTTTGAGAAAGACTTGCCAGGATGGGTCAACTGGCCTGCTGCAGTGTTCCTCCTTTCTTATGTTCTAAGCTACCCAAGCATTTGTTTAGGTAAGACACATATGCAACAGTTAGGTATCTTTATTTCGAAACGTTTCGCCTACACAGTAGGCTTCTTCAGTCGAGTACAGCAAAGTTGATAGAAGCAGAAGAGCCTTGAAGACGATGTAATCAGTCCATCACCCTTAAAGTTTTGAGGTGGTCAGTCCCTCAGTCTGGAGAAGAGTATTGTTCCATTGTCTGGAATAATAGGTAATATGTCTTACCTAAACAACCTGTCGGTATTTTATACCATTTTATTGTTTACCCAAGCATTTGTTTCAGTACGTCAGGTACTAATCAAACCCCGCCCTTTTCACTCATATATTTGTCCACTCGCGTTTTAAAGCTGCCCAAGATCTTAGCTCTATTACGTTTAAATAACTTGCATAGGACTTTTTCCCATGTTTTTAAAAATTCTTATATCCCAACGACACAATTTGTGACGATAAGTCAAGGTCACATGTAAACATAGACACAGTTGTTAAAGTGATCTTAATGACCCATTAACCGAGTCATCGAGTGATTTACACCCTCACTAACGCGCTCTCCCTGACAAATAAATAAATAATGACAACAAAAACAAACTCACTACTCACTTGCGCAACCCAGTTGCCGTTTTCTGCAAGGAATTTGGGAGGGATGTGAAGGATGGTCCCGTCAGCCAGGTCTAGAGTAAGAGGCTGGAGATGGGAACCCTCACTTACTCTCACCGTCACCGTCACAGGCTCCGTCACCTGCTCGAGCACCACCACGGTCCGTGACGAGCTGCAACACAACGTAACACTCACAGTATGACAACACGTTTCATATAATCAACTATAATCATTATTATTATCAGCGATAAAGATTAAAATAATTATAAATGTAAAACTGTCTTTAACGTAACGTGTATATCTAGTTACTATACTTGGGTGTCTTTATTAAGTAGCCGTTTCGCTATATATATATGTCGTGCCGAATATGTAAAACTGGTCAATTAGCAAGAACATTTAAAATTAAGTCCTTTCTAAATTTTTCTCTTATACGTTTAAAGATATATTTTTTCATTAATGTTAATGTAAAAATTTACAATTTTGCACCAGAAGAATCTTAGAAAACTTACCTAACCTTATTATAACAAGTGTAATTTATTTTAGCCTAACCCAACAAAATATATTTTAGATACGTTTACTATAATTTAATAATAAATAAACGCAATGAAATATATTTTTTTTCGTTAGGTTCAGAATGATTTTTGGGAAATTATTGCATAAACAAATTTTCACTTGTCTTATATAGCAAGATGAGCGTTGCTTTTTAAGCCAAAATCGCAAGTTCTGCCTATTCGGCACGACACACACACACACACACACACACACACACACACACACACATATATATATATATATATATATATATATATCTATATATATATATATATATATATATATATGTTATATTATATATGTCGTGCCGAATATGTAAAAACTGGTCAGTTAGCAAGAACTCATTTAAAATTAAGTCGTTTCTAAAATTTTCTCTTATACGTTTAAAGATATATTTTTTTCATTAATGCTAATGTAAAAAAAAATTATTTTGCACCAAAAGAATCTTAGAAAACTTACCTAACCTTATTATAAGAAGAACAATTTATTTTACCCTAACCCAACTATATATATTTTAGATTTGTTTGCAATAATTTAATACTAAACAAACACAGTGAAATATATTTTTTTCGTTAGGTTCAGAATGATTTTGGCGAAATTATTGCATACACAAATTTTCACTTGTCCTATATGGCAAGATGAGCGTTGCTATTTAAGCCAAGATGGCAAGTTCTGCCTATTCGCACGACATATATATATATATATATATATATATATATATATATAATATATAATATTAAATATAATATATAATATATATATATATATATATATATATATATATGGGCGTGTGTGTGTTGTGTATTCATGAAAAATAACAAATAACAGGAGAAATACCTTAGCATGCATATTGTTTCTAAGGAATTAAAAAGCCTTCACTGGACACATCCTTAATCTACAACAAGAACACATTCCTCACCGGCAATATGTGACAAAGCCTACAGATCAGCCTTGGTTTGGCTTTCGTTGTAGAGAGGCTGCTACTGCTAAGTACAAAGCATGGCGAAGGTATAAGAGACATCCTACCACCTATAACAGGAACTTGCACATGCAAGCCTGTAGGCATATGGGTGATGTTCAAAAGTGGGCCATTGCTAAATGGGAGGTGGACACTAAAAGAAAGTTAGCATCAGGTAGGGTAGGCTCCCAAAACCTGGTGGTCCCTGGTCAAGGACAGACAAGGTTATCTGCCTGATGAACTTATTCCACCTCTAAATCGACAGGATGGGACCACCTCTACTAGTAGTCAAGAGAAGGCGGACCTCTTTGCTGAACACTTTGCTACCAAAATGCAAGTTCCTGATCCAGCAAGGGACCCTCCTTGGCTAGCTGCACGAACTGTGTCGAAACTGTCAGTGGTGACAATAAGGCAGGAGGAGGTGCATTTCCTTCTTAAATCACTTGACCAAGAAAAGGCTGTGGGCCCAGACAAGTTGAGCCCAAGATTGTTGAGATGTGCAGACCAGCTAGCAGCACCTCTAACTCGCATCTTTCAGCACTGCCTAGTACAGTGTAAATGGCCCTCTCTATGGAAAGAGGCAAATGTAGTCCCTGTTCACAAAAAGAAGAGCAGAGCAGAAATCAGCAACTACAGACCAGTGTCACTCCTGTCAATCACTGGTAAGATCCTTGAGACAATAATCTCAAGACAAATGACAGATTTTTTGACTACCACTCACTACTTTGTGATCGTCAATATGGCTTCAGGAAAGGTTACTCTGCTGCTGATCTGTTGTTAAACCTCTCCACTAAGTGGCACCAGTCACTGGATGAATCCAAAGTCAGCTGTGTGGTAGCACTGGACATTGCTGGCGCTTTCGACCGGGTGTGGCACCAGGGCCTCTTAGCAAAACTTCAAGTACTGGGAATTGCAGGCTCTACGCTATGTCTCCTCAGTGATTACCTTCATGGTAGATCTCTAAGTGTAGTCCTCAGTGGAACTGAATCAGCAAGGCATCCTATTGGGGCAAGCGTTCCACAAGGAAGCGTGCTGGGTCCACTGTTATGGAATGTCTACTTCAACGACCTTCTTCATCTCATCCCAGAATCACATGCATATGCAGACGACTGTACACTGACATTCACTTATCCAAGAGAAGAAATGCCAGCTGCTCTAAGCTACATCAATCACCAGCTGAGAGCTATATCAGCTTGGGGAAATAGATGGCAAGTAACATTTGCACCTGAGAAAACGCAAATTATGATCGTCTCTAGGCACCATGATGGTAATGCTGGTGCAGTAGTAAGGATGAATGGGAGGATGTTGGCACCTGGAGAAGAAGTTGATATCCTTGGGGTGTAATTTGACTCCAAACTAACCATGAAGAACCATGTTGTAAATCTTGCAAACAAGGCAGCCAGGAAGCTTACAGCACTTCGCCGGATCTCGCATCTGCTTGACAGTAGGGGTTGCAAGATCCTGTACGAGGCACAAGTACGCTCACACCTTGAGTATGCTCCACTTTCTTGATTTGCCTGCCCCCCCCCTCATCTGCGACTGCTTGACAGAGTAGAGAACAGAGCAAGACGTCTCATCTCTCGCCTGGACCCATCCTGGATAGATGTCATTTCAGCAGAGCCTTCAACATAGGAGGGATGTGGGCGGCCTTACTGTTATGTACAAGGCCAATATTGTCAAAATACCACACTTGGATCCACTTCGAGGACAGCGTGAAACAAGCTTTTATGCCACAAGACGGGCAGAAAGCAGCAACTTCACTCTGGCTGTACCCTTCTCCAGAACATCACTCCATCTGAGATCATACATACCCAGGATGACTCGAGTATGGAACACATTCGTACAGCATAATGATGTCAACGAGATAAAGTCAGTTGATCAAATGAAAATGCTGGCCCACAGATGGCTCCAACTTCATCCTGTTCCGTACTTGTATGTCTCATAACAATAAAAATGCTTTCAAATGAGCTGATGTAGGTAACAGCTCTTAGCTTGCCAATAAAGTTAGGAATCCTTAACCTGTAATATAGCTGTCAATAAAGCTAGGGATCCTTAACTAGTCAAACCCTGTGTAAAAAAAAAAAAAAAAAAAAAAAAAAAAAAAAAAAAAATCCCTACGTTTCTTAACTTTACCCTCCACATATTGGTGTAATTTGCATATTGTCCCTAATTATATAGACTAAAATAAATAAGGTTAAAGCATCCAAGTCTAAACTATCTTATATTTACGTCTGTTGATAGCTGAGATTACTTATAAATGAACGCAGGTAAGAGCGTTAGATAACGAACGATGTATTTTGAGGGCAATGTAAAATGTGACCACCGCGTGGTGCTGTCAACAGCCTGAGTGATCAGGCGGTCAACCAAGAAGACTGCTCTGGGACTCGTAAGTAAATGAGCTTATTTAGGTACAGGTATACATAAGTTTAATTATGATACATAGTGTAAATTACCTAGAATAACCCTCAGAAAAGTGAGACAAAGTGACTTATTTCCACTGGGGTTCTTGTAATATCTTATTATTTAAACCTTCAAAGAGCAGGGGCACAATGACCCCTTGGAATCGACCACAGGTAAACTGCAGGTAAGATAGGACAGGACCTCCCCTGGTGGGGCGACTGGGGCGACGCCTGGTAAGAGCTATATCAAAGTCAGTCCCCACAGGGTGGGGGAGGGTTAATTCACTAGGAGGTCAGTCCCCTGGGGGTCGTCAGTCCCCGGGGAGGAGCGGCGTCGTGTTCCTTACCATCTGAGCTACAGTCGTGAGATCAAAGTCTAGTGTGTTACCAAGCGATTCAAGGTCTTGAGATCAGAGTCTAGGGTGTTACCGAGTAACGGTTTTGGGTTTAGATTCCAAGTAGTAACCAGGAACCACTAGCGCTATCCTCCACGGGATGGATATGGATATGAACACTGGTATAACAACTCACAAATACTTGTATAACAAACCATACCACGGGCGGGGATAGAACCCGCGATCAGAGAGTCTCAAAACTCCAGACCGTCGCGTTAGCCACTGGTATGGTTTGTTTGCAATCGTGTCATTACGATTTCGTGAGACTTGTATAACGACTTACAAACACTGGTATAACAATTAACAAACAATGCTATAACTACCAAACACTAATATAACAACTTACAAAGACTGGTATAACAACTTATAAACACACACGTTAACACACACAAAACAATGCTCACCGCAACACACGTACAAGAGAAGAAACATTACCTTACCCGGGCATGACTTGTAACAATTTGCCTTTATAAAAGAGGTATCCTGTTCAAGCACCCGCCCACCCACTGTTCATCCTGTTTACTCACCCAGCCACCCACTGTTCATCCTGTCTACTCACCCACCCACCCACTGTTCATCCTGTTTACTCACCCAGCCACCCACTGTTCATAATGTCTATTCACCCAGCCACCCACTAGGCATCCTATTCATCCTTCCAGTCACTATGGATCATGTTCACCAACAGCTATCCTGCCCACCCAGCCACCCACAAATACATGCGCAGCTACCTTAAAGTGTGTGTGTGTGTGTGTGTGTGTGTGGTGTGTGATGAAGATAAAACACACACGGTGAGCCTCGCAGAAGACGGAGTTAGTCCATATACCATAAAACTAAAGTTCAACTTTTATATCAGAGTCGCTCTTTCCTG